AATAACAAAACTTACAACTCTTACTCTCTCCTCCCTGGATCCAGAGGACCTGAGCTCATGGTTCCCTGCTTCTTGTGGGCAGAGATCCTTGAGGTGGAGCTGTGTTGGTTTCTGAGGGGAACACCTAAAGGAGCACTCACTAAGAACCACACTGGGTGCTTGTTCACTGTCTGATGTAGCCTTTCTCTTGGGTTTTAGTGCACACCTTGGGGTACATCTCACTGTACAGGCTTAATTTGGATTCAAGGTGGCTCAGTCCTGTTTTGTTCCAAGCTAAACAGAGGTTTGATCTATATGAAGAGTGTCTGAAATACTGATTATAATTAAAGTCTCTGTTTATTGGAGAGTTAAATGGAATTTAAGGTGGACAGTGGTAGACTCCTAGCACCTGGTCTGGGCACTTTAGTAAGAGAAATTCTTTGGTCTTCTCCCAGGGTGTGAAGTGGGAATCATGGAAAGGACATGAATTCTCCATCTCTTTTATGGAGATGAAGATCTGTCCTCAGTCTTCCAGTAATGAGCCAGTCCTGGGGAGGAGGAAGAAGTCTTTATCAGAGAACAGGAAGAAGATCAGGGCTTAAATAGAACTCTGCAGAACAACTCAAAGATAATGTTTCAGTATTTTCTTAACAAAGTTTGATTCAGACAGCTTTCTCCAATGCAAAGGAGACAAAGCTGACCAATGTGCACCCAGGAACATCTGTATCTGCAGGCCAACCTGCTAGCAGCCTCTGGAGCTCCTGGAGGGTGATGTTCCAGATTCTGGGAGGGGGCTTGTGGGGGATCCTGCTTGTAGATACTCTGATTGGCTAAGCATGACAAGAACCTGCTTGATCCATTACATGCAACTTCTATGGACTTTATGTCAAACAAGCCTTAAAACGTGTTGTTCTTTCTGGAGCCTGGGCTGCAGACTCCTCTTAATTCTGTCCTTCTCTGGAGCCATCCACTTCAGACTTCCAAAAATAAATTTGAACCTACTAACAAATAATAGCCCCCTAATTTACATCAGAGTGAACTTTTCTGAGACTATCACCTCTCCCTGTTTTGGTCTGCAGTTCTCATTATCTGGGTACATTCCCTATTCTTCCTGCAGAACTGGGTTTTGGGAAACACTGCCAGTCTGCTGGCAAGGCCCATTAACCCATGTGTGTTCTGTAGACTGGGTTCCTCAGCCCCCAGTATCACATCTCTGCAGGTTAAAATCTTGCTATTTTGCTTGTGTCATTTTTCCCAGCCCAAAGAAAATACAAAGGAGATGTGCAGTAGATTGATGTTCACTCTCCGGGGTGAGGCCCAGAACAGGGTGAATGTGAGGTCCACTCTCCTCCGGGCTCTGCTCACCATCCCAGACCTACCTCTCTGTACTGCTTGCTTACAGACAATTAACCAAATTCCCTATGTGACTGTTCCATCTGCTGCCTTCTGCTTTTTCATCAGCAGTGTGGCAGGTAGTGATGCTGAAATGATAACACTTGTCATCCACCTCTAAAATGAGCATCCCTTGGAGTTAAACTAATCCTGTGTGCCCCAGTGCATGGTTTCACATTTGACTGCCTTTTAAATTTTTTTTTTATTTTACTCACAGCCATAAAAGGTGAGGGTTCTTGGTTTTGTTTTTTGTGGGGTTTTTTTTGTTTTGTTTTGTTTTGGTTTTTTTTTTCTCCCTGAGAAGATATTAAAATTCTGGACAGCCAGCTCCAGCCAGGGAAGAAGTATGAGCTAACCAAATGCTGCTTGCTCAAACGCTTCCTTGTCTGGGCACACTGGGACATGGTTGTCCCATGTCTTAATGGCTTTTTCTATTGCAGTGCTAAGCTGAGTAATACATTTTAAAGAATCCTTCCCAGACTTTGCAGAAAGTAATAACATCACAAATAAAGGAGGTCTTAAATATTTCTGTCTTCCTTGCTTTGCATGGTAGAATTGTTTTTCTTCCTATTTAAGCATTTTGCATGAAATGGAAGCATTACCCAGGTCTGGAGTGGGACTTTGCAGATTAGGTCTTTGGGGTCTGCTCCAAAACCAAAAACCAAATAAAAAAAAAAAGAAAAAAGAAAAAAAAGGGGATTGTGCTCTCTTTGTGACTTGCTTTGTGAAGTGCTTAACTGACCTGTGTTTGCTATGACCTGGCTGAGGAGAGCCAGCCAGTGAGTTGTGTCTCAAAGGTGAGGACTGAATTCTTCACAGTACTTTCAGGGCTGTGCCTCTTGGGTGGGCAGGTGAGCAGAGACTCATGTGAGCTGTGTTAGGCTGTCCAAGCCCTGGTTTGGGGGAAGGAGGAGACTAATGGTGAGAGGAGTGGAAAGGAAAGTTGCACTTGAAGTGTTTTGCACACTCTGTGCTAAGAGCATGAGAGAAGGACATGGGAAAGCATTGAGGGCTCTTTACTGTGAAGTGTTTTCTCCCTGTTGCCCACTTGTCTGTAAGCAAGGACAGATTTCAGTTTGTTACTCAGTTAAAGGGCTCAGTGAAGTCATCAGGAAGGTGGCTGAGAGGGAGAGGAGGACTAATCTCACAGACAGCCACTCTAAAAGTAAGTGTATGCTCTAAAAAACAGCAGGCATGATTGTTACCTATGACTTTTTCTTGTGCAGCAGCAAAACATAGTCCCATCCTAAAGCTGATTCCCCCCTGGGAGCAGGGAGTATTCTCTTTGTGCTTTAAGTTTTGTTTTTGAGCTAAAGGCACATGAGGCACCTTATTTGCAATTTCTGAGGAGACTCTGTCTGGCACTCCTAATGTTCCTCTCTCACCAGGAAGGGCAAAGTGAGATCTGCTGGAAAAGCGCTGCACAAAGTCAATATTCCCGAACAGCCACAGGATGGCATCGTCTCTTCAGGCAGGAGAGACTTCTCGGTATCCAGCTGGCCTCTGCTGGAGGGAAAGGACCCTTTTGGGGTTAACTAGAGCCTGTGCTACAGCCCGGGACGCTGGGACTGCTCAGATAATGCAGTTTGTTTGCCTTGAGGGACTGGCTGTTCTGGTTTTGAGGCTCAGGATGGTTGGGGTAATGCCATAAAAATGTCATATCCCTTTGCTATCCTTGTTTTGCCATAATATGTGGCCCTGTAACAGTGATGTTGGAGGGCCAACACATTCTGAAAACCTCTGCCTTGCTCTGAGGTCACCTAAAGTTTATATACTGGCAGAATTTGAATCCCATGAGGATCCTCACTGCTTTGGCATTGCTGTGTTGATGAGGATTGTCCTGTAGCTGGGTCCTACCGGCCAGGACCTACCTGTTGTGATATATCTGCTGTTTCTGGGACCCCAGAGAAATGTTTTCACCTGTATTCCCCCATGAAGAGGAGGGAGAGGATGCCTCTTCCCAAAGATACTGTGTTTCTGTGTTGTTGTGATTTGGAGAGAAGCCTGAAGTGTCTTCCTGCACTGGACACTTGGCTGAAAAGCAGTGCAGTTACTTTTGGTCACTGCTCTGTGCTTTGTAGGCTGAATAAATAGTGGAATGGTCAGTGAGGATCCAATTTTTCCACCATAGAGCGATTTAATGGGCATTTTTGCTTCCCTTCAATCTTTAGGCTGCTCCAGGATGCTAAACTTCACCTCAGCCACTGCATATCTCTAACCTAGGACCCTGGAACGATCCTTTCCCCTTGCAACTCAGGCTATCCAAGAACACCTTGCCCTAAATCCAGTGTCTAACATCTGGAGAGAAGCAAGAAGCTCCTTTTTACTCCAGGAAGTGCGCCTCTGCCATTTCTAGCTGCTCATCTGTGCTCCTGCACTCCTCTTTCCCCAGCCTCTTCCGGAGCCTCAGCTTTGTGGGCAAGAGCCAGCTTGGTGCCTCATCCGGATTAGCAGCAGGTTTTTATTTTTTATTTTTATCATGGAGGCAGAGCTCCATGGTGTAGGATTTGGAAAGGCTCTGCCCAGCAGGCTTGCAGACCATGAAATATTTGTCTGATCAAAACCAACTGGGGTTAACTAGTTCTGTGCTGCTGATCCTCTGTAAGAAAAAACAAACCTACAGCCCACCTCCCACAGCACAAACCTTTTGTTCTTCCCACTACATCTTGCCCTTGGGTAGAGCAGCTTGGCTGTGCTCATTAACAAAGCAAGGCCATTAACTTGATTAAGTTAAGCTGTTTCTTTAAAAAAAAAAATCTGTAAGCTGCACAGCTGGCTGCAGGCAGACACTGCACAGCCTCTGCTCTGAGCTCACCCTGTGTCTTATCTACAGCCAGGACACAGGTACAAGAAAGATTTCCCCAGGAAAATAAACACATGACCAAGAGAGGGAAATACAGTGTTTGTTTGCAGTTTAAGAGTCATTTATTTTTCGTTTTAAAAAAAAATTGCACAAGATTTGTTTTGTTGTTGTTCCCTGTTGCATGGACTTGTTCAGGAAAATGGAAGGTTGATACTGAAATGCAGCTGTGGGAGGCAGGGCTGGGGCGTCTGGAGAGCAGGGACTGTGCAGTGGAGTTTCTGTACTGTGCATCTCTGCCCCCTTGGTAATGTGGGTGCTGCAGGGTTCCAGCTGCCCAGCTGGTGGATAACAGGTTCCAGTGCACCTCAGGCTTTGCTGCTCTTTTGCTTTTTCCTCCAGAAACAGCTGATTCGGTGCATGGTTTGGCCCAAACAGCAGACACCAAGGAAGCCAGCCCTGAGCTTTGGGGAGTGTGGAGGCTCAGACCATCCACTGGTTGGATGGATCAGGGCAGGGTTATATCCTGGTCCCTCCCTGCCCAGCCCAGGGGTGGCTTGAATGATGACTTTGGGGAAACTCAGACCTAGCTCTGAACTCCCCAAAGCCTGGATCTGGAGATGTGTGTGATCGACAGCTCACATTTTCCTGGCAGTTCTCTGGTTCTTGCAGGATTGGTTGCCCTCACTTGAAGAGTTACTTGCTCTGCTTTCTGGAGAAAAGCCTTCCTGCAGGAAGCCCTGCAAAGCCTCCACACCAGGCAGGCTGTACTCTGACAGCGCTCACTGCCTCAGTGCCCCTGCTTGTTTGGCTGAGCCTTTCGCCTCCCACTGTGTTTCCCTTTACTCTGATTTTTTTTGATTCCTCCAGGCAGCACCACCTTGCCTCCAGGGCTGCTCCTGCCTCTGGATCACAGCACCTGCATGGGCTCCTCTGGCCACCTGGTGAGTGTGGAGGCAGGAGGGCTGAGAAAAGCACTTGGATGGGGAAAGGAGGGAAGGAAGAAGGCATAATACAAGTGCAGTGCTATTTCTAGCCAGTTCTAGGATCTTGGCTAGACTGGGAGCTTGGGATAGAGATCAGAGCTATTTCTCCATTTCCTAGCATGACATGTGGCAAATCCTAATTTTTATACCATTATATGTTGCTTCCTGTTTTGGAGCAGAAGGGAGTCACTAATTTCAATGGTGACAAAGCAAACTGGAAAATAAGGCACATATGGGGTCAATTTAAAGGGCTGTGTGAGGAGGAGCCCAGCCTCATGGCTGTTCCCAGCACAAACCCTGTGACAACATGCAGCCAAACCCTGTGACATGATGTGGCCATCACAGCCCTGCCTGCATTGGACAGAACAGCCTATGCTGGGACTGGGTGGCACAAACAGCTGCTTCCAGCTGGTGGCTTTGTCCTCCAAGTGAGGGGAAGGTGGCATCACCCTTGCCTGGGCTGGAAGCAGCTGTGCCCAGCAGCTCTGTCCAGGCTTGCCCACGTGGGTTTGGCTGCTTGTTCCCCAGATGCCTGGCTCTGGCTGGCAGCTCTGGGCTGCTCCAGCAGCTTAAGAACTGCAAGAAAATGGAAGGAAGACATCCAGTGTACAGACAGGGCAAAACCCAGATGTGATGAGGCTTCTCATCACACACATGCATCCCTCAATGGAAAAAGAGATTGAGGAGACAGAGCCTGGTGGGGCAGAGTGGGGAGCACAGGAGACTCTCAGCTCAAGGGACATAGGATGGGAACACAAGCCAGGGTGGGGCAGGTGGGAAGCAGAGAAGGGATGAGAGCTGTGTGTGGTCCTGTTAGCTGCTGTGCCCAGCTGAACCATCTTTCCAGAACATGAGGACAGAGAGAGGTGCATGGTCTGCCTGTATAATGTATCCTGTGTAAGGGATGACTGCACGTGGAATTTACTTTGCTTCTACAGCAGATTCAAAGTCCCAGAGCTGGTCAGTCTGACAGGCATCCAGAAATGTTCAGTGCAGCACACAGAGCTGGCATCAGCTGGGGCAGTACCTGCTCATGGGTCTGTGTGTCTGACACATGGCACAAGGGCTGCGGGGAGAGGTGATGGCGGAGTGTGCCAGGAAACCATGTCCACTGCTTCAATACTGCTTCCATGTCCCTGGCCCTGCTCCAGAGGGGCCTTTGGTCCTGCTCTTCTTTAGTAGTCATTCAATAAATAACTCTAATGCCCATAGCAAAGCTTTTACACAGCCTCAGGTTGTGTTTCTGCTCTTGCAGTAGCATGGTGAGCTCTTTAATGGCAAGTTTGTACAAAAGAGTCTTTCAAGGAAGGTGTTTTCTTAAGTGCTGGTGCAAAAGGGCCGGTCTGGCAGCCTCTTCCCTCCTGCCTGCCTCTAGCCTAGATGGCAAGGCATCCTTCTGCTGTGCTGCCTTAGCATGGTGTCTGAGGTCTCTAAGGTTGTGCTGAGGGCATCTAGCTTCAGGTGCTCACAGGAGACTTTGGTTTGGTGGCCTGGTAGATGGCACATCTTCGAGCTGTGGGGTAACTCAGCCTTGAGCCCATAAAGCAAGCTGGGTTTGGACGGAGCCTGGACAGTGAAGCTGTGCCACCCCCATGGCAGGGCAAGCAAAGGAGGTGTGGCTGTGCCTGCTTCATTCACAGCAGTCTGTGCTGTGCAGGGGGAACGTGCAGGTGGGTGAGCATTGTCCTGTGCACCCCTGTGTGTGTGCTGGCAGCTGAGTGCAGAGGGAGAGCCTGGCACACCCTTCGCTGTGTGCCAGCCCCACGGGTGTGCACTGTGCTTGTGGCAGGAGGGACACAGGACCTGGAGGCAGGTCACCCTTGTGTGCTCACCTGTCCTTTGCAGGGGTCTGTGCCCTGGGCCATGCTGTCATGGTGGGGGAGAAGAGGCTTGCACAGCCTGTGCCTTGTTCCCTGTTGGCCCTTCAGCATGCTGGGGTCAGCCTCTGTCGAAAGTCACCACAAAGTGGCAGCAGCTTTGGTATCTCCTCGCCCCTCCTGGTGCACACGTGAAAGGAATGGTGGCATCTCAGAGGAGAGGACCTGAACACCCTTCTGTCTGCTAGATGGGCAAGGAGGGTCTCTTGTCCAGCAAGAGCAGCTTGGGCTGAGCTGAAATCCACAGGTCCTCCTCATCCTGCTTCTTCTTCTTCTTCTTTTTCTTCTTGTTCCTGTCAGCATGCAGCTGCCCATTGCTGCTGGAGCCACCTTTCCCTGTGCTTCCTCCCCTCCTTCTGCAGAAGCAGCAGTGGCAGCAGATGAAAATGAAGGCCAGGAGGACAACAAAGGGCAGACCCAGGAGCACGGCCAAGCAGACGGTGTTGAAGACGCCTTCTTCATGCTTGGTACGGATGAGCTCCAAGATGGAATTAAAGAAAGAGCTGATCTTCTGCTGCATGTCAGCTCCTGAGTAGGCTGCCTGTGCTGCTTCCTCTGCTTGAAAGGCACCTTGAGATATGCTCAGCTCCTGTAAGCAGCTAGTGGGCTCCACAAGAGTCCTTGGATGGTGCCTGCAGAGACAAGAAACCGCATGGATCAGGTGCCTGCTGCATCAGCAGTTTTCCCCATGGAGCTGCCAGAAGCCTCAGCAGGGTAAGATGTCTCCTGACTTGGAGGGACCTGGAGCCATGGGGGATGGACTGCGCTACCTGCTCTGTCCCTTTGGGTGTCTTCATCTGAGAAACACAGCCTCCTGTCTCCTGGGGTTTGTTCTTGATTGTGGGGATGGGTGAGGAAGGGCTTTGGGCATCCTTACTTACCTAGAAATTTAGCCAAGCACAAATCCTGCCCCTTTGGATTTACACATCAGCCCTGGCTGAGCTATCACAGCATGGAGCTCTTATTAGCCCTTTGTAGGGCTTGTTTTGTAGCAGATGAAATACTGTCTGCAGGAAAAGCTCTCCTGTCTAGGAAAGGACTTGCCTGATGCAGACCAGTGACCATTGTGGAGACACAGTACAGCCACAGGAGCCAGGACTGCACATGTCACAGGTCCCTCCTTATTCCCAATCCTGGGACAGGGTACCTTTGGCCAGGCTGTTCCTTAGGGCTCATGGTCTGGGATGGGCAGCACAGAGGCAGGGTCTGTTTCTGCTGCCCTGGCACCATGGGCACTGCCAGCAGGTTTGGGGTGGGGGCTGTGGCTGAACCCCCTGTGTTTTGGATGAAGACTGTGGTCAGTGAGACTCACAGGTGGTGGAGCTCAGTGAGCAGCCCTGCACCCACAGCTCCAGGTACCCAGGGCTGGCCACAAAGGCAGCAGCAGGGGAGGATAAGGGTTGGCTGGGGTGGAGGAGTTGCTGCTGCTGTGCCTCACCTGGGAATTGCTCCAAGGGTTTGGGTAGGGCTGAGAAGCATTTCTGTGGCTTGACGTAAGGTTTTCCTCTTCCCTCAGGGAGGGAGAGGTGCTGCTGAGTGCCAGGGCTCTGAGGGAAGCCCTCCTGCAGGGGCAGGGAGCTGCTGCCTCTGCTCACATCTTTCTTCCCCTCCTGTGGCTAGGCAAAGCATCTGAGAAGAGCAGGGGCCTTTGTGCTGCAGTTTGCGGTTCTGGTTCAACACAGGGGTCACTAAATCAGAGCTTGTACAGATGAAGAGCTGGCAGGGGCAGTATCAGGCTCCAACGCCCTATTTCACCCTTGCTCAGCAGTGTCTTTGCCAGCCTTTGGGATTCAAACCCTGCAGCCTCTTGAGGGAATGCTTAAATCCCCACGTGCCCAGGAGGGGAAACTGAGGCACAGTAAAAGGAAAACCAAAAAACTTGAGAGGTACAGCCTGAACACCAAAAATGTCCTACAGGGGTTGCTCCACCTGTCCCCTCTAACTCTTAATCTTTTCTTCTGGCAGCTCTCACAGAGCTCAGGGACCTTGAGGGAGGGACAGGAAAGGGACCCAGGCTGGTTTTGGCTGAATCCTCCTTGTCTGCAGCACTGCCCTTCTTTGCTTTGCATCTCACTTATTCCTTGTTTGGGACCTGCTAAGGGATGCTCTCTTCTAGGGGGAGTTTTAGGATTCTCCAGCTAGCACCATTGTGCTTCCTCTGCCTTGCTGTGCCATTACACCCCAGTCCTAAAGGAAGAACCAAGCCACCAGCCTCACCCACAAAAAGCCACAGGTCCCACCCAGCCCTAACCACAGCTCTTGTGATGCTGCTTGGGCAGGAACTCCTGGACAGCCCCCCAAAAAAGCAGCTCCCAAGGGAAAACCTCCCTTCCAAAATGCTGTCCTGGGGCCTCCGGAACTGTACTGGTTTCACTGGTGTCCCCTGGCTGCTGGCTTTCAGACCTGACTGTCAGCACCTCAGGAGCTGAATCCCTCAGCATAGATGCCAAGCTCTCAATTTGGGATTCCACAAGTGCTCAGATTCTGTTAAAAATAAGGGGTTTATCCATGTCCCTCAGAAACAGACTGACCACTGTGGATTCATTGTTTTGATGTGCATGAGCACACAGCTGAGCTGGCCTCAGTTAGCTGGTGGTTTCTCTTTTGAACATGAATTTCTCTGGGTGCTTTTCTAAAAAATTCTCATTTGAGATTTACTGAATGAAATGCAGTGCTCTGGAAGATGGTTTTGGCTTTGGCTGGAAGAGTTTTATTATGATTATTGTTATTACCACTATTATTACTGGATTTTGGTCCAGACTGCTGCATCAAAACTGGCTGTTCCTCACATTCCCTCATGCCACTATTCAACAGAGGACAGAAATATCATCAATATCCCCACCTGAGAAATCACAGGCTACCACTCAGACACTCAAATCCCATACAACCTCTGCCTAGCCCCAGCCTGGAGCCAACTGGGAGCATCCCAGATCTGCTTTTGCTCACAGGGGAGATAAGTGAGAGCCATTCTTAAAGCCTGCTCCCTGTCCTGACCTTCATCTTCACTTAGGTCTTTTTTTTGGGGCAGCTGTAGTAAAGGTTACACTGCAACATAAATAAACAGAGCAGCTTTTCTTCAGTGTAATCACCCATGTGATGCAGGTTTGCCAATTATCCCTAAGTATCCTGACAGCTCATTATCCAGGCAGGAATCCAGGATGCCTGTGATACACTGGACTCCAAAAAAGAAGTAAAAAACCCACACAATCTCCAAACAACAACTGCCTTAATTTCAGACAAAACAGGATGTACACTTTTATTCCTGCACTGAACTGCTTTATATTTATTGCCTCTAAACTTCTGGGTAGGGAAGGAGGGCTGGAACTTCCTTTTAAACTTGTAATTAATTGTTTGCAGAGGAAAAAAGAATGGGGAGATAAAAAAGAAGCAAAGCCCTTTGATATGTTTCCACTTGAAACTGGAGCTGAATGCACTGCAGAGGCCCTGGCTGATTGTCACTGGGGAGTGTCCAGCTCATGTCACTGGGGACATGTGGCCACCCTGGGCAAGCTGGATGTGCTTCCCTTGGAAGGGGAAGGTGGAGGTACCTGTCCCTGCCCTGACCAAGCAGCATCCAAATCCCAGGGCCATCTTCCAGCATGGCCATGCAGCTGGTTTTCAAATGCCTTTTCTTTCTGGTGTGTGCATTGCTTTTTGTTTTGTAGATGAAGGGATGTCTGTGTGCTAAATAATGGGATTCTTCAGTTTCATATAAAAAAAAAAAAGGGAGGGGAGGGGAAAGTAAAAAAAACTGATGTGTTTGGAGGCAGCAACTCCAAGGGCAGAGGGGTTACCCAAGGCCACCCACTGCCAGCTGAAAACCTGAGGGCACCATGAGGAGCTGCATTTAGGAATATCCATGCAGCTGCTCAATTTGGTGTGACATCTCCCCTTAGAGAGGGGGGATGAACATGGAGAGCTGCTTGCCTGCTGTGGTCCAGGATGGGGGGCAGAGGAGTTGCCCAAGGCTACCCATTGCCAGCTAAAAACCATGAGGAGCTTCATTTAGGAATATCCATGCTGCTGCTCAATTTGGTGTGACATCTCCCCTTGGAGATGAGCATGCTGTGGTCCAGGATGGGTGTGAACTGCTTGCTGCAAGCATGTGGAGCTGCCATTGGGAGGCCAGCTGAATTTTTTGGGTCAAGATATGGAACCAAAAAACAGGGCCAGGGAGGTACTGGGAGACAGGGCTGTGTCTCAGAGAGGGCTGTGAAGCACCCTGCTAAATGAGCTCTTTGTTTTTGGTGCTGGCAGAGCCAGAGGAAAGCTGACATGGAAACTGGCCTGGGAAGCGCTGTGGCCAGGGATGGATGGCTCCAGCTGATGGCAGCTCTGCACGACAGGGCTTCGTGCCACTTGTGTAAGTTTCAATCAACATTGCACATCCAGCATGAGGTTCTTTAATCCACACTGGCTTCGAAAGAGCTGCTTTGCAAGGGTGGGGAGCATCTGCCACTCCTCTGCAGTTATGGGAGGCCATGGGTGGAAAATAAGGTCCTTTTGAGGGACGGCCTGCGATGGCACCACCAACTGTTGGTGTGCAGGGCTTGCCTGGCTGAGCTGGAGAGGTAAAGGCTGCCAGCCTGTGCATGGGGAAACCAAAACAGAGGGGGTTGCCTTGGCAATGCTGGCTTGTCCACATCCTGTGCGCTGCAGAGCAACCGCAGCGCCTGGGGATGGAGGTAGAGTTTGCAGAAAAGCTGCACTTTACTGGAACTGCTGTGCTGTGTCACCGTGGCAGAGGGGACAGAGCTGGAGGTATTTAGCCAGTTAAGTTCTTTAGGCCCAACCCTCAACAGGCTCTTAAGTCTTCATGAAGATTCCTCCAACCTAACAAAGCTCAACCTGCTCCTCTCAGCTGAGATGCTGCCTGACTCAGGCAGGAGTGTGGCTGCTCTAAGGAGCTCCCTGCATCCACAGTGAGAGCAGCAGCAGCTCCGGGGGGAGCGGACCTGTGGGGTGTGCCCCAAGTATTTCTGGATTATTTCAACACTCCTTTGCTCTGTGGCCAGCTGCAACTCAGGACTTGTGGAGGTGACATGAAATCAACTGACCTACAGCCTCCCCCATTTCCTTCACACAGACGAGAGCACACTTCGTGCAGTTGATCCTAAGGAGCGCAAAGCAGGAATCACATTATTAAACAACCATTTCCGTCTGTTACTGGCTTTATGTCAGCTTTATACCAACTTTCCACTGCAGTGACAGCTCTGGTTCAGGCAGGGAGAGGCTAATTTTTGTTACAGCCTCTGAGCTCCCTGATCCACCCAGCAGGGACACAGCTATGCTGTCACACAGTGGCACCTATTTTCCCCGCTTGCACCTGCAGACTTAAAGGAAAACTGGATGAAACCTGACACCGAGGGTGAGCAGTTTCCTTAGCAGGGATTGCACGTTGCTGTTTCGGAAATGGTGACTAAGAAGGGTTTTGCCGCCGGTCTCGCAGAACTCGCAGCAGGCTACAGAGACCTTCCTCAAACGTGAAAGACAAACACCAAAAGCCACCACCCAGCAAACACGAGAAGCCGAAGCTTCATCTCGTTCCCACCACCATCAAGCCTTCCTCCCAGAAGCTACGCACAAATGCTTTCATTCCCTAAAGGGAGTGATTTGGAAAACTACTGATATGGATGTTGGATAACAGGGTTAAAGTGAAACTATTTTGCAAGCTGCTGCCTGGAGCCCAGTCGTCATCGCCGTCTGCACAAGCGCGGCTGCCGTCGGCCCCGGGATCACCGAGACTGTGGCCAGTTCTGAGTTCAGATATCATCCCTGGATGCACTGGGAGCTCCTCGGAGCCATCCTGGGCTCCTCCAGACTACGGACCGGGCAGTGCTGCCGGTCCGGGCGGGCAGAGCCCCCAGCCACGGCCCTCCCTGGGCTCCATCACTTGTGGCTTTGGTTACAAGAAGCTCAGGGGGCTGCCGGAGAAACACTGGATGCCCCATCCCTGACACTGTTCAGGGTCAGGCTGGACGGTGCTTGGACCAGCCTGGTCTAGTGGAGGGTGTCCCTGCCCATGGCAGGAGTTGGAACGAGGTGTCCCTAAAGTTCCTTCCAGTCAAACCGCTCTAGGATCCCATGCTGTTCAAAGCCACAGTGGTTTTGGGTGCAGCCCCAAGAGCCCAGTGCCAGGCGGGCTGTCCCGGACACACAGCCCCCGAGAGCTGCTTGCTGCTCATCGCTCCTTCCCCAGTCCCCGTTCTCACCCCCTCCCCCCCGGGCTGCGCGAAGCAGATGATGTGGCCTTTAAAAAAATAACTAAAAAGCGATAAAAGCCCTGGATTTGACTAACACAGCACGCAGGACAAAGTCCAGCTCCGGAATCGCCCTCCCGGGTACTCCCCGGACCCCCGACCTACCTCAGCGCCGCAGCCCCGTCCCGCCCGCTCGTCCCGGCCGGCGTGAGGCGGCTCCGGGCAATGGGCCGGGCCCGCCCGCCGCCTCCGCCCCCGGCCCGGCCCGGCCCCCGGCCCGCCCGGCCCACCTGGGCTCTCCCGCCCTCGGCCGAGCCCAAACTGAGGGAGACACACACACACCCTGAGGGGTTTAGGCTGGAAGAGAGGCGGCCACGGGGTACAAAGCAGCCCCGGACCTGCGCTGGGGAAAGGGAGAGAGCCGAGTGTGTGCAGCCCAGGTTTTCCCAGAAGGGTTTTTAGGAGACAGCAGGCAGGGCTTCGGGGCAGTGATGCCGCTGCTGTGGTGAGAGGGCAGGGTAGAGGTCCAGCTCCCCAAAAGCAGGAGTACCACCCTGGAGCCCCTCACACTGGCAGCCTGCTGCCGCTCACCTGCACCCAGCAAGCCATCAGCACCACCCTGCACGCTGTCACTCCTGCCCTGCCATCACACCCATCCTCCGTCCCTGGAGAGGGGACACTGCGGCCAGGCAGGGGTGATGGAGCATCCCTGGGACTGCCCAAGGTGATGCCGCATCCAGGAGCATTGTGGCTGCTGTACAGCCGTGGATAATGATGGATACTTCAACCTGGCTGTGCAGGGTTTAGTGGTGGCCTTGGTATTGCTGGGTTAAGGGTTGGACTTGATGACCTGAGAGAGTTTTTTTGACTTAAATGATTCTGTGATTCAATATTTTCAAGCTGTGGTCTCAGTTCCATTGGGATTGCCACCCCCACCCTTCACTTGCTACTTTCTCTCCCACTAATTTCTTTTTTAACACCATGGCAGTGATACTCGGAAATTGCTGAATCCCATCTACTTTCCAGTCCTGGGCTCTACGGCTTCCACAAAGTGTTGTGATGCTGACAGCTGGGCAAGCTGCAACTAGAAAATTGTTCTGCTGGAATTTTTCTGGTTGGACTGAGTCCTTTTGCGTTGCAAAATCCCCACATTTGCCCTCCTTGCCCTCCTTCATGCTCCAGAGCCAGTGGCTTTACTGCTTCAGCCTTGGTGCTGATTTGTGGAACTGGGCTAGCCAGGGCTATCTGACCCTTCAGGGCTCCTGGAAAACGGCCTCACGCTCCCAGTGCTGTGACTTGACAGCACCAGGAGCAATGCAGTTCTGGGAATAGGAGGGAAGGGGGATGGAGGAAAGCTGGCTGCCAGCCTCTGCTGCCCTCCCGCTGCCTTCACCCTAGTGCTGGAGTTGGAGAGGTGAGACATCCTCAGAAACACACATTGTAGGCTACAGCTTGTGCTAAGTGCCTCCTCATAGCCTTGGGGAAGGTGTTTATGTCCTGTGGGAAACACCAAGGATTTTTTCCCTAAAGATTTGCTGCTTAGTGCCAGGAACTTTTCCCTTGGTTTTATGCTGGAGGATGAAGATTCCTGGGCTTTGCATGATGTGCTTACTGCATCCCAGTTTCTCATATCCCAGTTCACCCTATCCTGACTTATTCCATCCCATCTGTCCATGTCCCAGCTCACCCCATCCTATTTCTCCCTTGTTCCCTGACCCTATCCCAGCTCTCCCGCCTCACTGAGCTGCTGCAGCCATTCCCTCTTTTGGGGTACCAAATCCCCTATGGAAACACCCATCCCAATGCACACAGAAGCACCTGGCTGCTGGCAGTCACCTGAGGGGTACCTGACCACTCTACAGCACCAGAGAGCACAATGCCACCTTTGAACCCCCTCTAACAGAATTGACTGAAAACATTTATTATCAGAGCTCTCAGAGGGTGAGATATCTGAAAGTATTAGGCTCAAGGGTGCCTGTTCTGAGCATGGGAATGTGAAAGCCCAGCCTGTCCTTGGCACCTGGGATATTTGCTTCATTCCCTGGGCAAACAGCCTCACTGGGGCTCCACACTTCCCTATCACTAATTTAATTTGGCAGAGGCCTTGACAAGGGAGGGGCTGCTGGCCTTGCACCTTCCATGGATTTTCAGGGCCCCCCCTGAACTTCTGGCAGTCTCTTGGCTTCAGGCAGGAGTGCTGTGGTGATATGGCAGAGGTGGTGGGCATTGCTAGTGCTGATGTCTTGGAGTGCTGCTGCCTGTGAAGGAGTCTTGATGCCATTAAACTCAGATAGATAGACTTTAACAAACTGAGAATTAATGTAAGAATATTCAAATATAGTCAGTCCACTGCTCTAATCCAGCATCCTCCTCCCCATATCTGACCTGTAAAGGTCCCTTCCAACTCCAACTCAAATTCCACAGTGGTCCATAGGAGATGTTTTGATTAATCTAAACAGCATGTGATGCTTGACCCCATGGATGTCTCCTGCAGCAAGGTGTGCCAAAGCTTCTTCCCTTGTAGCATGAGAAAAAGGTACATTTGCAGGGATTTTGAACCTGCCACCTCCTTGTTTTGTTTGGCACGTAGCAGATCTGGGATCCAAGGAATCGTGCTTTGTTTCTCAGAAACTTTAATGGGCGAGAGGAAGCCGTGACTCAGCTGCTGATGAATCACTGCAGCTCCAGATTGTCTCCCTGCTTGCTGGTGCCCCTCAAGCACAGGAACTGAGTGAGCCCATGCCAGGCAAGCTCCTATCACCTCATGGCATGTCAGTTTGAGCCCAGGCCTTGGACCAGCTGGAAATCAAATCCCACCTCCCAATCCTGTTTTCCATCCATCCTTCCCAAAATCCTTATTTCCATGCTGTATCAAAGCCTTTCCCATGCCAAAAAGCACCCTGACAACTTCATTTTCCTCCTGAGACCCCCCTCAACCCCTAATTTGATTTTGAAAACACTACTCATTTTACACTGAAAATAGAAACACTCTCTTGCCTCCCCCTTATTTCATTGGATTAATCTAATTTTGTCACCAGTTTGCCCTGTTCCACAGCTGTGAGCTTTACTCCTTGGTGACACCCAGCTGGTACCCAGGGTCAGCTTATTTGGGGTTTTCTCAGCATGGTGGGAGTGGTAGAGTGACTGCAGACATGATCACACCTTTCTTTCCCAGCTGCTTCCTCTGCTCTCTGCTGGTGATTTCTATTTGCAGACACTAGTCTGGCTTAAAGTAAGCAATGGAAAACTCTGCTCCCAGAGAAACATTCCTCTCATTTTTCCCCCATGCTTCTGCCTTTTCCCCTCCCTCTCCCCCTCCCACAAAAAAAAAAGCCTGCAGTTTCAACACCAAAAATAACGCACGCCCTGGTCGTGGGCTGGGTAAAAATAGCAGCTCTTGGTATTTAGCAGCAGCAATGGATTTTCTGGCTTTGGAGGAAAATCAGGAGGAGGGGTGGGATGGGATGGTGACTCTTGACGCATGAGTGGAGGACAAACACAAAGCTGGTGTTTAGGGAGAAGCTGCTTCATCGTGTTGTGGCTAAGTCCCATGTAGGCAGGGATGGGGGCAAATGCTGCTCTTAGGGAAAATGCCCCAAAGTTGGTGAGTTTTTGGGGGTGCCTCATGCCCACCCATCACTTGGGAGGCTTTGCAGCTGGGCTTGCCAAAGTGAGGTTTGCAGGATCATCCCCCCCTGGTGCTTAGACAAGAAGAACGCTGAGATGGGGATTGAGGGAGGGTCCTCAGGTGCCTCCTCAAATACTGCTGGATGCTTGTAGAGAAAGCTGAGGTGGTGTAAGGGACCTGTGTGCAGGTGAGGAGGAGGGTGGTATGTGTCTGCTCAGAGCTCAGCTCAGTGTTTGGCTGTTTAGAGCTGATTGTTTTGTGTGTGTAAGCCCTCAGGAACTCCTTCCTGAGGAAATCCTACAAGGCAACACTGGTGGCAGGCAGGGGGGAGAGGAGACACGCTGGGAGATGAGGAAAGCGCCGGACTGGGCAAGTCCCACAGCGTGACGTGCTGCCTTCCCCTCTGGAAACACTCAAGGATAGTTATGGGAAAGCCAGGGAAGGAAAACCTGTTGGTGAATGGGGATGCTCCTTCCTCCCCTGAGCATGGAAATGGGGTCAGCAGCAGCATCCAAGGGCTTCATTTGTGGAAGGTGTGAACCAAAGGCAGAGAGGCGAGCGATGCTTGGGCACAGTCTGGTGCCCCCAAGGAGCAGCAGTGCCCCCAGTTGTAGGAAGCAGTGGCTCGTGCCTCCTCCAGCCACCCCCAGGTGTTTCCCATGCCGGATGGGTGTTGGATCTGATCTGCCAAAGTTGATTTTTAGATGAAAAACCGGTTGTGCAGGCCATCCCCTCTGTCACAGTCATTCCTTTGGCTCAGCCCCTCTGTGCAATCCCTCTGTGCTGGTTTCCCCCAGAGCCTAGCTGAGGCAGGCAGGGAGAGCTAATCCAATATATTTTTAATGATATGCAGATGCCAAATTAGTGGTAGTATTTTGATTATTTTCATTATTTGTTCCCCTTCATAAGCCACTCCCATGGGAGAAGCTGTTCCTGGAGATTTGTGGTGAGCCGATGTCCCTTGGCTCAGGATCACATGAGGATTTTGGCTGGTGGTATTGGAGCCATTGGAATGTTCTGTGTGGCCCTCGGGGCTTAGCTCCTGCCTGGGGGTGGGAATATCTGACCTTTGTTCTTCACACTTCAAAGTCTTCCTGCTCCTCATCTTGTTTGCTACCCCCGTGGGGAGGATGCAGCTGGGTGTCAGGGCTGGGGCAGGGCAGCCTGTTGGGAACTCACCCACCCTCCAGGAGGGAACCGAGAGAGAAATGCAAATTGTGGTGGGTGAAAGAGGGGAAAAAACAACGGTGACCTTCCTCCTGGGGGTGTTTTGCCTCTTTCTGCCCCTCTGCGAGGGAGAGCAGGTTCCTGTGTTTTGAGGGGTAAATTCCCCTGAGACAGGGGCAGGGGCAGCAGAGGGGGCAGTTGTGACTGGGGAACCAATCCAAGGGGGGAACAGGGAGATGCCACCTGGTTTTGGCCTGACTTGGGTGCAGCCAGGGGACACTGGACCAGGAGCAGGGACAGACACTGTTCCCAGGAGTGGTCAGCACTGCCCTGATGCTCTCCCAGCCCCAGCCCCTCTGCTGCTCCTCTCCCAAGTGCCCGTTTCCATCCCCTTCTGAAATTCTTACAGGG